ACAGCGCCATCTGTTGCACGTAAGAGCCATACACACTATAATAAATGTTTCGATTCCATTTCAATCTTTCCAATTGCATTGACAAATTAAATTTTCATATATTTCGATTTATTTTCATTTTAATTTAATTATTTTGTGGGATATTGCATTGGAGTTTAGCTGTGTTGTTTACCATACCGTTCATTTCGTGAGTGTAAGTATAGAGGCAACACACCCGTGACAGTAAAAACATGCATTATTGAAAAACAGCGCCATCTGTTGCACGTAAGAACAACTCTTGCTATACTAAATATGTTACGATTATATTTCAATGTTTCCAATTTCATTGATAAACTGAATTTTCATAAATTTCGAATTATTTTCATTTTGATTTAATGTTTTTATGACATTGCTTTGGAATTGAGCTGTGTTGTTTACCATACCGTTCATTTTGTGAGTATAGTTTATTTTTTTATTTCTTCATTTTTTTCATTTCGTTTTTTATTTGTTTTTTCTTATATTTCAGTGATGGGAACATCAGATCATTTGATGTTCCCTATTTTCTGATGGGAACTTCAGATCATTTGGGTATGCATCAGATGAAGGAGTGGGGATTGGTGGGGAGGACGAGGGGACGGGAGTGGGGGATGGTACTGAAGACGATGGGACAAGGGAAGGGGTATGGGGTAGAGGACGAGGGGACGGGGGAGTTGGGGACGAGGGGGACAGGGGAATGGAGAATGATGGGAAGGACAAGGAGACAGGAGAGTGGGGGATGGTGCAGAGGACGAGGGAACAGGGGAGAGGATAGGGAGGCCGGGGGGGGGGGGGAGGGGGAATGGGAGATGGAGGAGAGTACGAGGGGACGGTGGAGTGGGGATTGGTTAGAAGGATAAGGGGACGATGGAATAAGGGATGGTGGGGAGGACACAGGGATGAGGGAGGGAGAAAATTGTGGGAAGGACGAAGGGACAGGAGAGTGAGGAATGGTTGGGAGGACGAGGGGACGGGGAGGGGGAACGGTGGGGAGGACTGGGAGACGAGGGGAAGGTTGCTGAGCCACAGCAACGCGTGACCGGGTACAGCTAGTTATTAATACATATTTTTGATACAACTAGTTTTACTTTATTTGTCACTCGATACGTCTGAAAATATTTGTTACCAAAATGGATATTTAATTTGATCTGTTGACTTAATGCGCATTTTATTTACCTAAGTGGAGGCCTGGTCGAGGACCGGGCCGCGGGGACACTAAATGCCCCGAAATCATCTCAAGATAACCATCTCATCTCAAGATAAGACATCTGTCAATTTATATATTACTTAGCTATTTATTACCTTTTTATTGCCTGAAGTAGTTTATTTTTTGTTACTTGGGTAGGCCTACACATGTTACTTGGTAGGCCTACACATGTTACTTGGTAGGCCTACACATGTTACTTGGTAGGCCTACACATGTTACTTGGATAGGCCTACACATGTTACTTGGTAGACCTGCACATGTTACTTGGTAGACCTGCACATGTTACTTGGTAGACCTGCACATGTTACTTGGGTAGGCCTACACATGTTACTTGGGTAGGCCTACACATGTTACTTGGGTAGGCCTACACATGTTACTTGGGTAGGCCTACACATGTTACTTGGGTAGGCCTACACATGTTACTTGGGTAGGCCTACACATGTTACTTGGTAGACCTGCATATGTTACTTGGTAGACCTACACATGTTACTTGGGTAGGCCTACACATGTTACTTGGGTAGGCCTACACATGTTACTTGGGTAGGCCTACACATGTTACTTGGGTAGGCCTACACATGTTACGTGGTAGACCTACACATGTTACTTGGTAGACCTACACATGTTACTTGGTAGATCTTGACATGCTACAAGAGGACGCAAGAGTACTCTCGGCACAGTGCTACAGTAATTATATTCTCATATCTACTGGAACACAACAGTTCAGTAGTCATGTCTGACCCCTCACCATGTCCTCCTTATATCTGACCCTCACCATGTCCCCCCTCATGTCTGACCCTCACCATGTCCCCCCTCATGTCTGACCCTCACCATGTCCCCCCTCATGTCTGACCCTCACCATGTCCCCCTCATGTCTGACCCTCACCATGTCCCCCCTTATGTCTGACCTTCACCATGTCCCCCCTCATGTCTGACTCTCACCATGTCCCCCCTCATGTCTGACCCGCACCATGTCCCCCTCATGTCTGACCCTCACCATGTCCCCCCTCATATCTGACCCTCACCATTTCCCCCCTCATGTCTGACCCTCACCATGTCCCCCCTCATGTCTGACCCTCACCATGTCCCCCTCATGTCTGACCCTCACCATGTCCCCCCTCATGTCTGACCCTCACCATGTCCCCCTCATGTCTGACCCTCACCATGTCCCCCTTCATGTCTGACCCTCACCATGTCCCCCTCATGTCTGACCCTCACCATGTCCCCCCTCATGTCTGACCCTCACCATGTCCCCCCTCATGTCTGACCCTCACCATGTCCCCCTTCATGTCTGACCCTCACCATGTCCCCCTCATGTCTGACCCTCACCATGTCCCCCCTCATGTCTGACCCTCACCATGTCCCCCCTCATGTCTGACCCTCACCATGTCTGACCCTCACCATGTCCCCCTCATGTCTGACCCTCACCATGTCTGACCCTCACCATGTCCCCCTCATGTCTGACCCTCACCATGTCTGACCCTCACCATGTCTGACCCTCACCATGTCCCCCTCATGTCTGACCCTCACCATGTCTGACCCTCACCATGTCTGACCCTCACCATGTCCCCCTCATGTCTGACCCTCACCATGTCCCCCCTCATGTCTGACCCTCACCATGTCCCCCTCATATCTGACCCTCACCATGTCTGACCCTCACCATGTCCCCCTCATGTCTGACCCTCACCATGTCCCCCCTCATGTCTGACCCTCACCATGTCCCCCCTCATGTCTGACCCTCACCATGTCCCCCTCATGTCTGACCCTCACCATGTCCCCCCTCATGTCTGACCCTCACCATGTCCCCCTCATGTCTGACCCTCACCATGTCCCCCCTCATGTCTGACCCTCACCATGTCCCCCCTCATGTCTGACCCTCACCATGTCTGACCCTCACCATGTCCCCCTCATGTCTGACCCTCACCATGTCTGACCCTCACCATGTCCCCCTTATGTCTGACCCTCACCATGTCCCCCTCATGTCTGACCCTCACCATGTCTGACCCTCACCATGTCCCCCTCATGTCTGACCCTCACCATGTCTGACCCTCACCATGTCCCCCCTCATGTCTGACCCTCACCATGTCCCCCTCATGTCTGACCCTCACCATGTCCCCCTCATGTCTGACCCTCACCATGTCCCCCTCATGTCTGACCCTCACCATGTCCCCCTCATGTCTGACCCTCACCATGTCCCCCCTCATGTCTGACCCTCACCATGTCCCCTGTATGTCTACCAGTATGATACATTGTTTATACTACACATATAAACAATGACTTGCTATATATTATGGTTTTTGATGATGGCTTTATTATTTGTTACTAGCTGTACCCGGCCACGCGTTGCTGTGGCTCAGCAACCTTCCCCTCGTCTCCCAGTCCTCCCCACCGTCCCCTCGTCCTCCCAACCATTCCTCACTCTCCTGTCCCTTCGTCCTTCCCACAATTTTCTCCCTCTCTCATCCCTGTGTCCTCCCCACCATCCCTTACTCCATCGTCCCCTTATCCTTCTAACCAATCCCCACTCCACCGTCCCCTCGTACTCTCCTCCATCTCCCATTCCCTCTCCCCCCCCCCCGGCCTCCCTATCCTCTCCCCTGTTCCCTCGTCCTCTGCACCATCCCCCACTCTCCTGTCTCCTTGTCCTTCCCATCATTCTCCATTCCCCTGTCCCCCTCGTCCCCAACTCCCCCGTCCCCTCGTCCTCTACCCCATTACCCCTTCCCTTGTCCCATCGTCTTCAGTACCATCCCCCACTCCCGTCCCCTCGTCCTCCCCACCAATCCCCACTCCTTCATCTGATGCATACCCAAATGATCTGAAGTTCCCATCAGAAAATAGGGAACATCAAATGATCTGATGTTCCCATCACTGAAATATAAGAAAAAACAATTAAAAAACGACATGAAAAACAATGAAGAAATAAAAAAAATAAACTATACTCACAAAATGAATGGTATGGTAAACAACACAGCTCAATTCCAACACAATGTCACACAAATTAAATCAAAATTAAAATAAATCGAAATCAATGAAAATTCAATTTATAAATGCTATCAGAAACATTGAATTGGAAATCATATCATATTTAGTATAGCGTGTGTGTGATGCTATTACATTCAACAGATGGCGCTGTTTTTTTCTTTAAATTATGTTTTTACCTGTCAGAGGTGTGGCATCTATGTAGTAGGCATATAAAAACACGCACATATTCGAATGGAACGTTATGTCAGAATTTCAAAACAATCAGTGAAAAACTTTGGGAGATAACAGCGTGTGTTGCTCTTACGTTTAACAGATTTCACTGTTTATAAAAAAAACATGCTTTTTCCCGTCACAGCTGAGGCATGTATATAATAAGTTTATAAAAACATGCGCCTATTCAAATGCAACGTTATGTCAAAATTGCAAAGCAATTGGTAAAGAGGTTTCGAAGATTTCTCTCACATGAAAAACATAATTTAAAAAAAAAAAGCATGTTTTTTCCCGTCACAGACGTGCCATCAATATAATATGTATATAAAAACCCACTCTGATGCGAATGGAACGTTGTGTGAAAATTTCAAAGCAATCGGTGAAGAATTTTCGGAGATTAGCGATTTTGAACAAACGAACATTTCCATTTTTATTTATATAGATTCTGCTCCCTGCTCTCTGCTCTAGTGAAAATAATCCAATAACTATGAATATTGGTCAACAGAGCAGATATAAGGAGTTGGGCCCAAGTAAGCGCAAGCGATTGAGAATTAACGTGAAGTGTGTCTGTCTGTCTCCCTCACAGCCGGCCTCCTCACCTTCTTCCTCCTGGCGGGCTTCCAGTGGAACACCTCCATTTGCCTCGAGGCTCTGATCGCCTCCCTGTAAGTATGTCTGGCCTCCTTCGTCACCCTACATGTCTTCCTTCTTAAGCATTGTAGGTACTTTCTTTGTGTACGTTTATGATCTATTGGTTTTCTAACATGCGCCACAAGTGTTGCCGGGTGATGGATGGTCCTGGAACCCATGTGGAAGCATCTAGGTAGAGAACCATCCATCACTTATGTGGTTTAATATTTCTATACCCATAAACAAAGTGGGGCAGGGAAATACCACTGTGGTAGATATATGATACATTATGCCTTGGCCAGATAATTTGTACTCGTATGAATTTATTGATAGATTTAAAGCCCTCTTTCTTTCTATCAAATTTACTGTAAAAGAACAGGTAAACGGAACCTTAAGTTTTCCCAAATGACACTTGCTGGTATCACGCAGAGCTATCAAGTGTGAGACAAAGATTGAATGGTCCTCAAGTTGTACACCTTTACCAGGATTGACCAGGATTCGAGCGTGCGAGGCCAGGGATGACCGCACTGGCTACTACAGTACTAAGACAATACACCATACACCCAAGATGTATCAAGAGTGTTACCGGGTGTAGGTTGCACCCGGCAACAGTTCACATGCGGCACAGAACCCATGTGGAAGCATGTGAGTTCCAAGACCAACCAACACAAAGGCAGTTGCTGACAAAGGCGGTGCAGTGGTGGTGTTGAAAAGTGAAAATTATAAAACGGAAAACCTCAGACAATTAGAAGATAATAATACATATAAACAAATAGAGAATTCACAAGTTTAAGTGGTACTTAAAAACGCTCAACCCCGTAACAAAAAAAAAAATAGTCCTCAAATTCTACAGGAATAAAGATAAAAGGTCCGGAGGAAGTGGAGGCCTAATTAAAGCAGAGGCAAGAGAAAGATTTTTGGCCTTTGAATCTAAAATCTAAAGCTTGTTTAACCACCCAAAAATACATAAAGATAATCTGGCTTTGGCAAATACATGCAAACCGGTCCACAGTGGTCGTGGGGCCAAACTAGGCCAGGGATTGGATATGTACTGCACTGTTGATCCCGCTCGTCCAACTTCTCCCGGAACGCTTGAAAGATACGACGGATTTTTTTTTAAGGAGGATCGAATCAGTTACAGCTCCCATACCAAAGGGAGCAACCTTGTTTTCCTTAGATATTGTCTCTCTTTACCCTAGTATACCGCAGAGAGAATCAGCCAGGAGAGTAGAATAATTTCTTGACACCAACAAACTTAGGATCAAGCAGGAGGACCTCAGAAAAGCAGGCGTCTTCAGGACCACGACCAAGAAACTCCTAGAGGAAGCCATTCCCTTCATGTGATGGGGGATACTCTCCTAACTTTTGTTAACAGAACTTTTCGACAAATTCGATAGCTATAGGAGCATACAGTAGTGTGGCTATAGCAGAGATTTTTGTCCACACCTTATTGGAATCAGCTAGGATGCGGCGAGACCAGGGTCGTGTCTTCTACTTAGGTTAAATAGATGATATTTTTGGAGTGATGGTTGAAGAACGACAAGAATTTGAGCTCGTCTTTAACAGGAATAATACGGTGCACGAAAACTTGAAATTCCCCCTAAAAATGGATGAATTCACTATTTCCTTCCTGGACACCAGAGTTTACATTGAAGAACCGAGTCGAAGTAAGTAAGTAATTATCAAAAGAAGGCACCAAACCGGGAAGGCTATGTAGCACCATCAAATGCGCAGAATAATCAGAGGGCGCTAAATATCACCAAGGATGCCAATACGAGAACAAAAACGCATAAGGCGAACGGTATCAAAAGTATCCGAATCACCAAGAATTCTAATGAGGGACAGGTGGCCGCGAGGGGCGGTCGGAAAGCAAGACACACGCTCGTCCTGGAAGTCAGGACATTCAAGAAGGACATGCATGACCGTAAGAGGGACAATGCAACTAGGACAATAAGGAGCAGGGCGCCGCTCCATCAAGTAACCATGGGTTAAGCGAGTATGACCAATACGCAACCTCGCCAGAGCTGTTTCCCATCGCCGACGGTGGTGGTAGGAGGACGGCCACGAGGAAACACAACATTTAAGAGTACGTAGTTTGTTACCAGTAACAGACAACCAAGAAGCCTGCCAACGGGTAAGGACGGAGGAATGGATAACCGGGTAAAAGTCGGAATACGGAATACCTTTACGAGAGATGGGACAAGAGCGGACAGCTTCCTTGGCGGCAGCATCCGCACGCTCATTTAAAGACACACCAATATGGCTGGGAACCCAACAAAACTCAATCGACTTAAATTTACTGTGAACAAGAAACAGCCAATGCTGGATCTCGACAACTACTGGATGAACCGGATTAAAGGACCCGAGAGCCATGAGGGCACTACGAGAGTCAACAGCAACTACAAAGGAAGACTGACAACGAGAAAGCAGGAGACGAAGAGCATAGAGAATAGCATAAAGCTCCGCTGTAAAGATGCTAGCCTCCGGAGGTAAGCGACACATATAACTGTGATCAGGAAAAACAACAGAGTAGCCAACACCGTCCGCAGACTTAGACCCATCGGTGAAGACAGAAATGGAGGAGTGAGAAGAAAAGTGCTCAAGGAAAAGGCGTTTTAGAACCGTAGGAGGGGTAAAAGCTTTAGTGATACGGGTCAAGGATGTACAAAACCGCGGAAGAGGGACTATCCACGGGGGCAAAGAAGGAACAACACGAGGAGAAACATTAGAAATACAAACGGAAAGAGAGTCCTGTAGGCGAGATAACCGGACAGAAAGAGGGAGGTGGTGAAGAGGAACAGGAACCGCAGGAGGGGTAAAAGTTAAAGTACGACAGAGGCGAGAGGAAGGATGTTGTAAGGACCGAGCAAGATAGTGAAGACAGTAGCGATCACGTCGATCTTGGAGAGACAGGAAGCCAGTGTCTACATACAAGCTAAGGACGGGAGTCGAACGAAAGGCACCAGAACTGAGGCGCAACCCAGTTCGGTGCAAAGCATCAAGACGGCGAAGAGTAGAAGGAGAAGCAGACGAGTAAGCAGGGCAACCATAATCGAGCTTAGACAGGACGAGAGAGGAATGTAAAGCAAGGAGAGTGCGCCTATCTGACCCGCAAGAAGTATGGGATAAGACCCGAAGGAGGGTAAGGGCCTTAGAGCACTCAACACGGAAGTAAGAGATATGGGGAGACCAAGACAAACGAGTGTCAAGGAATAACCCCAAAAGCTTTGCGGAATTTTTGTACTCAAGGGGATGACCATAAAGTGACAAAGAGGGACGAAGAACGACCCGTTTCCGCATAAAAGTCATGGCACAAGTCTTAGAAGTAGAGAACTTGAAGCCATGATCGGTGCCCCAAGCCGACACGGCATCAATTGCAAGTTGAAGCCGGCGCTGAAGGAGAAGCGAATCATCACCCTGATAGCAAAGGGTAAGATCATCGACATAGAGAGTGGAGAAGACACCTGAAGGAAGAGAGGAAAGAAAACCATTTAGGGCAACCAGAAAAAGAGTAGTGCTCAGAACACTACCCTGGGGCACACCTTCGTATTGCTGAAAAGAGGCAGAGAGAGCGGTACCAAGGCGCACCCGAAAGGAACGACGAGAGAGGAAGCTGCGGAGAAAGAGAGGGAGATGACCACGAAGGCCAAAAGAATGAAGTTGAGATAGAATATGATACCGCCAAGTGGTGTTGTAAGCCTTTTCCAGGTAAAAAAAGATGGCAACAACGGAGGTCTCGCAGCAAAAGCAGTACGAATATAGACCTCCAAGTTCACCAGGACATCTGTCGTGCTGCGGCACTTGCGAAAACCAAATTGAGAAGGGGAGAGGAGGTGATGGTGTTCCAGGAACCACATCAGACGAACGTTAACCATACGTTCAAAGAGTTTGCAGACACAACTTGTGAGGGCAATAGGGCGAAAGTCCTTAGGGGAAGTACCCAGAGACCCCGGTTTGCGAAACAGGGAGGACATCGGCATCGAGTCTGTCCTCAGGGACTGACGACGACTCCCAGATCCGATTATACAGACTCAGTAAATACTGAGACGTGCACAGAGGGAGATGGCGAAGCATCTCATAATGAATACCATCGGAGCCCGCAGCCGTAGAACCGCAGAGGGCCAGGGCAGAACGAAGTTCAGAGAGAGAGAAGGGATCATTATAGGGAAGCTGAAGACGAGTGCAGAAATCTAAAGGACGAGACTCAAGGACAGGTTTACGAAGAAGGAAAGATTGGGGAAGATGAAGACCAGAGCTAACAGAAGAAAAGTGGGAACCCAGTATGGAAGCGACCTGCAACGGGTCCGCCACAAGAGTATCATGGAGGTGAAGGATCGGTGAAACATCGGGAACGAACTTACCCGCTATCTTGCAGATATGCTTCCAGATCTGGGGCAGAGGAGTTTCGGACGTAATTGTTGAGACATAAGATGCCCAACATTCACGTTTAGCCGTACGGATGGCCCTACAGGCCACCGCACTCGCTTTCCAAAAGAAAAGAAAAGAATCGGTCGTCTGCCTACGGCGGTGCCTCTTCCAGGCTGCATGCTTACAGCGGACAGCCCGAGCACAGTCCGCATTCCACCAGGGAACGCACTTCCGTGGACCCCGAGAGGAAGAGCGAGGAATAGAGCGGAGGGCAGCGTTTGAGACAGTGTCATGAAAAAGGAGGAGAGCGCGAGAGAGAGGCAGAAGGGAGAGGTCAGAGAGAGCAGCACTGAGGGTAAATAGGGTCCAGTCCGCCTTAGCAAACTGCCACCTAGGGAAAGAGAGGGAAGGGCGAAAAGAGAAAAAGGAAACAAGGATGGGGAAATGATCACTTCCATGGAGGTCATCAAGAACCTGCCACGTGAAATCTAAGTAAAGAGAAGAAGAGCAGAGAGAAAGATCAAGACAAGAAAGGGTGCGAGTCCGAGAGTCCAAATGAGCGGGCTCACCAGAATTCAGAAGAGACAGGGAAGAGAGGAGAAACGGCTCAAGAAGGCGACCTCGGGTATTCGTCAGAACATCACCCCAAAGAGAATGACAATTGAAA